CTCTGCTCGCAAAGCTCACAAGAATCACTTCTGCGATGCATGCCGTCGCTGATTTCTGCTGGCTGGCTGGAAAACTTCTGTATGCGTGGGCTTGTGTCCGAGTGTGTAGCCAGTCTTGTGCAATCAGCCGTGTTCGCAGTTCTGTCTCTGGCTCCATTGGCTGTACTGGGAGGGGAACTTGGGTTCCTTTCTTCAGGCCTGGGCCCCGACTTGTGTCTTTTGGCTTTGCAATCTTGCCTTGTGGCAGGTCGCTCCTTCACTGGCCGTGGCCTCGTTGGCTTGTGCCACTTCTAACATATGGCATCTGGCTGTCAGGTCTGCTGCTGGCTGGTGCCCGCCCTGCAGGCCGTTGGCTGGTGCCGCTGTGCAGGCCTGGGCTTGCGCCCTTGTGGTTTGTTACCTCCTGCTTGGCAGGCTGGTTTGCCTGGCGGCCTGGCTGTCAGCTGTTCATTCTGAAGGCCGGGGTTCTGCCCTTGGGCCGTTGGACTTGTGTCCCTCGCAGGTTGGCCTCTGCTCTAGCTGGTCTGCTACTTCGTAACAGGCCAGGTGGGCCTTCGTGCTGGGTTCACTATGCCTTGTGGCATCTTGTTGCTCTGCAGGTCCTTCGCTTTGCAAACTTTCCTGTTGGGTTCTCAGCTGAGGAGCCCCAGGCCGAATTGTCGGTTTTTCAGAAAAAAAAACCGAGATTCCGCCCAAGGCGAAATTGTCTGATTTTCAGGGAAATCACGTGATTCAGCTTCTGCCTTCAACATCAACCCCTGAGGTCCATCCAGGCAAGTTAGCACTTCGCTTCCTGCCTGGCGCCATCTGGCTGTCTGAGTCATGGCCAGCATTGCAGACAGTGAGGTTACTTTCGCGACGCGTGCGCGTCAGTATGGTCTGGCACAGACTGTGCTGGACAGTCTGGGAGCTGCTGGGGTGAAGACATACTCGTCTTTACTTTTTTCGGTGGCCAGCGCACCGGGTGCCGTCGACGCAGCTCGTCTGAAAACCTTTCAAGACAGGCACCTCGGTTCTGGTGCTTCCGAGGGGTCCTTGTCTGCGCTGAGCAGACTCCTGTTCGAAGCTGGAACGTTCGTCGTCGCAGAGCTTCGTAGCTCTGTCACTGGGGATGAGGACGGCTCTCGGAAGTTAACACACCATGAGCGTGCCAGTAGGCTTGAAGCACTAAGGTCGAAACTCGGGGCGTGGCCCATATCGGGCTCCTTCGAACCTTCGAATGCTTTGATTGACCTGGCCTTTGCCATGGTGACTGACTCTGCAGTCAGGTACATCGCGCCGAGCAGGTGCAGTAGCAGGGAGCAGGAGGTGGTTTCTGAAAGGCGTGACGACACCCTTTTTCGCCTTGAAGCCACTTCGCTGAAGGCGGCTCGCAAACCTGTGTCCCTGAAGGCTGACGTTAGCAACGAGCTGCGCCTGTACCAGGCTTTCAGTAGGCGAGGTGTTGCCCTGGAGGTTGCAAACATCTGCTCGTTCACTGCACATGAAACATATGTGCGTGGGTTGTTTGAGCATTTGCATCGCCTGCCCCCTCCTGGTTACGCTGCTCCTACTGTGGACGCTGTCATTGCTGCTGATCGTGCTGTCTGGCAGAATGTTGCTGCTCAGGTTCCGTGTTTGCCCACCATGGACATTGCCAAGACTGTTGACCCTGCTCTGTCTGCTGCTGCTGCCACGCCTGGTGTCGCTTTTCATGTCATGCCTCGTGAAAAGAAGCGGGCTCTGGATGATCCCAGCAAGCCGCCTGGCAAGCAGCCCAACAAGGGCGACGGCAAGGATGGCAAGGGTGGCAAAGGCAGGGGAGGCAAGCCTGGTGCCAAGGGCAGAACGTCCGCCGGCAAGGGCAACCAAGGTGGGTCGCCTGCCAAGCAGACTGCTGTGCCTGCTGCTTTGAAGGGCCTGGACCCTAACAAGGATGGCACGCCTCTGTGCTTCGATCGCAACTTGGCTCATGGGTGCAAGCGTGAGACGTGGCAAACGCCGGCCGGCCTTCAGTGCGAGAAGGGTTTGCATCTTTGCATGAAGTGTAGCCCCGATCATGGGGCGTGTGCGTGCACCAACTGAGGTCGAACTGAGGTAGCTGGGCATGAAGCACTGCTTGAGGATACCCCTGGGACTCTGTTTTCCACTGCCCAGGATTCTGCATGCCTGGCTACCACTGAGGCTATGATGTCCGAGCCTCTGAATAATTTTCCCACTGAGGCGACTGCTGTGCCTGTTGACATGTCGTCTTTTTCACATTCATCCAGTTTTGCTGCTCCGCGAGAGCCTGTGTTTTCCTTTTCCAATGAAGGGCTGGCTGCCGTTGAGTCTCTCTGTGCTGCCACTGCGGCACAGGATCCCAAGGCTGATGTGCCTGGTCCTGCGCTTGATGCACAAAGTTCAGCTGGTGCTGAGTCACGCCGCGGGCCTGATGCTAGCAACCTGAAGGCCTGTGTTGCTCTGGAAATTTTTGCTGGGTCTTGCAGGCTCAGCAAGTGTCTACGGGCATCAGGTTTTGAGACTGTTGCTGTTGATGTGAAGGATGCGGCAGGACACCAAGTTCTCAAACTGGACTTGTTGTCGATTGCAGGCCTTACTGTGCTTTGGGATGTTTTAAGTTCTGGACAGATTCTTTATGTGCACATGGCGCCGCCGTGCAGCACTGCATCCGCGGCAAGATTCATACCTGGCGGGCCTCGCCCTCTACGTGACGCCCTTCACCCCGATGGGCTCGAAGGTCTCAGTTTCTCACAACGTTTTCAGGTGCACAATGCCAACAGGTTATATGCTCTGTGTCGCGATGTCGCTCTGTTTTGTCATCGACGTGGCATCGGTTGGAGCATTGAAAACCCGTCTTCCAGCCTCTTCTGGATGACTTCGCCGATGGTGCATCTTCAAAATAAGCTTGTTGATGATGTTTGCACCGTTGTGTTTGATCATTGTTGCTGGGGCGGTGACAGGCCCAAACGCACTGCACTCTGGAGCAACTTGCCATGCCTAGGCTCTCTGGAAGCGCTCTGTACTCCTGCTTTGCAGCATGTTCATAAGCCCTGGGGCCGCCTGCCTGATGGCTCCTGGAGCACCAAGGCTGAGGCGGCATACCCTTTACCGCTGTGCCGCTTCTGGGCGCAACTACTTAGGTCCAGGTGGGATGACATTCTGTCACAGAAAGGACTTAGGCCTGATGTGAACTGGTCTGGGCCTGCGCGCTTGTTTGAAGCGCGACGTGCACTTGGTCTTTTTCCTCGAGGCCGGCACCCCAGTGAAGTCAAGAACCCGTTCAGTGAACAGGTGCACATCCGTGTGCCTCTGCACACTCCTGTGTCGTTACTGGTGCCTGGCTCTGATGCGCGCATCTCTGGCGCTCCAAAAGGCTGCAAGGTTTTGTCTGCCGTGAAGGAACAAGAAGCCTGGCTGGTCCTGCTGGGCGTCCCCTGTGAACCTGAGGAGTTCATGGCTTCGGCCCGTTCCTTTCGGCATCCGGCTGAGTGTGAAGTGACGCTACCTGCTGATCTGGAGCACACTCTGTCCTTGGTTTCCAAGTTAAGTTGTGCGGAGCTTGCCAGCCGCCGTTGCCAGTTTTTGCACAGCCTTTTGCAGCGAGCTCAGGAGCTGTCCCACCTGGAACGTCAGTTGCACGATGGCTTGGCGCCTCACGCTAGGACGGTTCTCCAAGGCAAGCGTCTGCTCCTGCTTGAGGAACTTCTTCGCAGCCTGTCACATGAAGATACTAAGCTTGTGCCTGACATTTGCTCTGGTTTTCGACTCACTGGCTGGCTAGAGCCAAGTGGCGTCATGGAGCCCAAAATCACCGCTCCATCTCAGTCGGCTTCAAATCTGTGGCGTCAAAGGTCTGATCTCAATAGGCAGGTGTGGTCTCAAACCAAACCCACTGGTAGCCCCGAGCTGGATGAGGCGCTTTGGCAGGCCACTGTTAAGGACGCATCCAGCGGGTGGGCCATGCTCCTGCCACCGTCTGATGGCCCTCCTGATGATGTCCTCCTGAGCCGCCGCTTTGGAGTAGTCCAGGGATCCAAGGTGAGGGGAGTGGATGATTTTAGTTTCAACGGTCTGAACGAAACCCTTGGAACCTGCGAGAAGGTGACGACCATGTCGACGGTGCACACCACGGCACTTGGCATTCGCTTGCTCAGGATTGCCAAAGCACGTGGCATGAAGCTGCTCGGCCGTTGTTTTGACCTTAAAAGTGCTTATAGGCAGCTGCCCGTGCACCTGGAGGACTTGCCTTACTCTGCTGTCACCGTCTGGTCGCCTGCCGACCGGGCTGTCCGTGTACTGCAGATGTTCGCTCTGCCGTTTGGAGCCGGCGGTAGTGTTCCTGGGTTTGTTCGGGTTTCGCTGGGGCTTTGGAGGGTCATGTGTCGCCTGGCCTTGGTGCCAGCCACTCTGTTCTTCGACGACTACACCTGTCTGGTGTTGGAGTCTGATGCTCCCAGCGCCGAAGCCTCAGTACACCTCCTGTTTCGCATTCTGGGCTGGCGCTTGGCACTGGAAGGCGACAAGGCTGCCTCGTTCTCGCAACAATTTCAGAGTTTGGGGGTTTTGTTTTGTTTGCACCCTGGCGTTGACAGCTGCCTGTCTGTCACAAACACAGACTCCCGCAAGGCTGAGATTGCTGCCTGGTGCCTGGACAAGCTAAGGTGTGGCGAAGCTTCGCCGAAAGAATGCGAGCAGTTTGCAGGTCGTGTTCGCTGGTTGTCTGGGCAAGTCTTTGGTCGCACCAGCTGCTCGGCTCTGCGGGCTCTGCTCTCTGCTGGCAGAGCTGACAGGCCGTACACTGCCAGGCCCCTGTCACACGAGCTCGCTTGGGCCATCCGTTGGATTCTCGAGCATGTTCCCAAAGGACGGCCTAAGGTCTGGTCTTTGAATGCCAGGCGTAAGCTTCACTTGTTCACTGATGGTGCTTTTGAACAAGGTGTCGCCTCCATAGGCGGTGTGCTCTGTGACGGCTGGTGTCAGCCCCTGCAGTACTTTGGTTGTCAGGTTCCTGGGGTTGTTACCTCTCAGTGGCTCAGCATGGGCTGTGAGCACCCTATCATTCAGGCTGAGCTGCTTGCCGCAGCTGTGTCTTTGCAGTACTGGAAAGACATCCTCCAAGGATCCAACACTTGTGTGTGGGTCGACAACGAGGTTGTCAGGTTTGGTGTTATCAACGGGTCCATCCGCCCAGAATCTGCGATGACCATTCTGAACAGCATGCTGCATTTGGAGGCTGCCTGTGACGTAAATGTTTGGGTCTGTCGGGTCCCTTCACACAGTAACCCCGCTGATGGTCCCAGCCGCGGTTTGCGCCCTGGCTTTCTCTCACAGGCCAAGGAAGTGAAAGTTGACGTGGGGGCTCTGGTCTCCTTGGCCAGCGGACACTGAACTGACCTGGGGATCTGAGACCGCTGGCTTCGCATCTTCCCGCCACAGCTCTGCTGAAATCTGTGTCCTGGCATGCTGTGGCCTGGGATTTCTGAAACCGGTTCGACCGGTGTCTGGCTGGAGCTGCCCCACGTTTGAAAAAGGATTGTCCGCATCTGCTCGCAGACCTTCATGTCAGTAGAGCGTGTGCATTAAGTTTGCTATGTGCTAACATGCAGCTTTAATGTACCACGCGGCCATTTTGGCTTAAGTTCTGTTTTTCTGTTGCCCGCCCTCCCATCCCTATGAGGAACGACATTGATCCTTACTGGCATCATGGACTTGGCTTTGGCCCTGTGCGTGGCCGCAGTCAGCGACTGGACCTCCCGTGGGAGTCTGGCACTTTTGGTTTCATAGGTAGGCCGCCTTCTGTGCAGCAGCTGAGCTTGGAAGGACTTCTGAGGTTACCAATTCCTGTGCCGGTGCCGGTGCCCAAGCAGTGTTCTGCGCCCTCTACTGGTTGCCCTGCTGCAGCTGGCTCTGTCGCTTCTGTGAACTCTTTTCGTCAGCCAGGAAAAGGCAAGGGCCTTACCTGGAGTTCACAAGAAGAAAGGAACAAGCGCGTTCAGGCTCTTTGCAAGTGGTCAAACTTGCTGCGATTGGCACCGGAGCTTTTCTGTACCGCCACGGTGGACAGATTGCCTACTCGCGGCGATGAGTCCGTGATTGAACACTTGGACGTGCTGTTCAGTAAAAAGAGCACAAACACGCTGCTGACTCGTGCGCAACCGCTCACCCGCTTTGTCCTCTGGAGACGTCGCACCTGCCCTGAGGACGCTGTCTCTGAGAATCTGTTGTGGATGCACTGCCGCTGGCTGCAATGTTCAGCAGCCGCCAGCAGCATAGACTGTCTTGTCAGCAGCCTAAACTTTGTGCATGGCACTCTGGGCCTTCAGGTATCTGTTCAGGAGCTCCTGTCGGCTCGTGTGCGTGGCATTGCTCACGCTCACCTGCGCACCAAGGCTGAAGTTGATCAGGCACCTCCACTTACTGTCGCTCAACTCAGGTGGCTCGAGTACTACGCTGCCTCCGCTGACGACCTGTACGAGCGCTTGGTTGCTTCTACGTTGTGCTTCATGGTCTACGCTCGCGCCCGCCGGAGCGACCTGGCAAGGGCAACTCACATCGAGTTTGACCTGACTCCTGATGGACTGGATGGCTTCGTTGAGTGCAAGGTGAAGAACCCCAAGCAAGCTCGGGCTGCCAGCAAACGAAACCTGTTCATGCCGTTGACCGCTGTCTTTGGCGGGATGTCTGACGTCCCCTGGGGAGCCACTTTTCTGGCTGTACGACAGGCCAATGGCCTGGAAGTTAGTGGGGCCCTGGATCACCCTGCCTTACCTGGTTTGACTGCCTCTGGCTCGTGGCTTCGTGAGTGTGTCAGCAGCGGTCAGCTGACTCAATGGTTGCGTTGCATCCTGGCCAAGGCTCCTGAAGCTGATTTGGCTTCCATTTCCAAGGTTCGTAGCCACAGCTGCAAGGCCACCTTGATCAGCTGGTGTGGCAAGGCTGGACTGTCAGACAAGACACTGACCTTCCTGGGCTACCACAGCCACGGTGTGAACATGGCCAGCGTTGGGTACCGCAGAGATGTTCTTGCTGGTCCATTACGTGAACTCTGGCAGGTCATACGGTCCGTGAAGTTGGGCAAATTCTTGCCCGACATCACGAGAAGTGGACGCTTTACAGCTCCTGGCAGTCCTGTCAGCTCTGCCTCTGCTTCCCTGGTCGCCTCTCCTCCTGGCAGTGCTGAGAAGAAAAGCGCTGGCTCCTCTGCTGCCGTTGAAGACGCTGGTACCAGCAGCTCTAGTGGGTCCTCTGAAGCTGGGTCCGAGAGCGATGATGGCGCTGAGCAACTTGTGGCTTCTGCCCCACACTTTGTGGAAAACATTCTCGCTGTTGGCGGGTATGCCGTTGCCGGCAACAAGAAGAACCAGCTGCTGCACATCGTTAAACAGAAGACTGGTCGTCTGCTGTGTGGAAGGCTGTTGACCGATTCCTTCTCTGTCAATTCCATGACTGACGCTGGTGAAGGAAAGTTTTGCCGCACTTGCAAGACTTGTGCGCTTGCTGCCTCTTAGCTGTGTGTGATGGCCGGGGATCTGAGACCGCTGGCTTCGCATCTTCCCGCCACAGCTCTGCTGAAATCTGTGTCCTGGCATGCTGTGGCCTGGGATTTCTGAAACCGGTTCGACCGGTGTCTGGCTGGAGCTGCCCCACGTTTGAAAAAGGATTGTCCGCATCTGCTCGCAGACCTTCATGTCAGTAGAGCGTGTGCATTAAAAACCGCAAAACAAACCGTACAGAACAGCGAGTAAGAACAAGAATACCGTACAGAACAATCGAGAAACAGGACGCATCGAAGCCCAACAGTTCTCGATGTGTGTGTTTTAGTTCGCTTTCGTTGGTTTTACTGTGGTGTTGGTTTGTCGTGTTCTCTTGATGTGTGTCGTGTTTGTTCAGTGTTGATTGTTTGGCCTGTTTCGGGCTCGGCCGCACGACGCACATTAACCATACTGTTCCTTGCGCAGTGGCGTTTCTGCTCCATCATTTCATCTTCACGCAGCCAGTGCCGTAGAGACCTGCGAGCATGGCAAGCACCGTGGCCTTCGTGGCGCCCGCCCTGCAAGAAGGGGCAGTGGCCAGGCAGATCCACACAGCACCCGCCTCTCCGAACCCCAAGACTTCTGGCGCTGGCTATGCTGGCCCCGCTGTGGCCTCGATCGCTGTGGCCCTGGCTGCGCGTACGGTGGGCCGCCAGCGCCGTCGCACCTCGGCCCGAAAGCAGGTGGCCCTGCGTGCTTCCACCTTGGACCAGTTGAAGCAGGTGGGCGGCAAGGAGGGTTCCATCCCTCTGAGCAAGTATCGCAACATCGGCATCATGGCCCATATCGATGCCGGAAAGACGACGACGACAGAGCGCATCCTGTACTACACTGGCCGCGAGAAAAACATCGGAGAGGTCCATGAAGGGCAGGCCACCATGGATTGGATGGAGCAGGAGCAGGAGCGAGGAATCACCATCACCAGCGCAGCAACAACGGCTTTCTGGGATGGCCACAGGATCAACATCGTGGACACGCCAGGTCACGTGGACTTCACGCTGGAGGTGGAACGATCTCTCCGAGTACTAGATGGTGCCGTGGCTGTTTTCGATGGCGTTGCAGGTGTCGAGCCCCAGAGTGAAACCGTGTGGCGCCAAGCCGACAAGTACAAGGTGCCCCGCATGTGCTTCGTGAACAAGATGGACCGCGAGGGCGCAGACTTCTACAAGGATGTGCAGATGATGGTGGACCAGCTTGGCACGAATCCCGTTCCCATCCAGCTTCCGATCGGGAAGGGCTCCTCCTTCAAGGGTGTCTTTGATTTGGTGACGATGAAAACATTGATTTGGACTGGTGAGGAGCTGGGTGCGAAGTATGATGTGAAGGATGAGATCCCCGAGGGCATGGAGGAGGAAGTTGCTAAATGGCGCGAGAACCTCATCGAGAAGGCCGTGGAGCAGGATGAAGAGGTTCTGGAGGCCTACTTGGAGTCTGGTGAGGCGCCATCTCTGGAGGACCTCAAGAAGTGCATCCGTATTGGAACGCTGGCATTCAGCTTAGTTCCCGTGCTTTGCGGGACGGCCTTCAAGAACAAGGGTGTGCAGCCTTTGCTGGACGCCGTGTGCGACTACCTGCCATCGCCCGTCGATCTGCCGCCCACCAAGGGCAAGAACCCCAAGAATGAGGCAGATTGATGCTTCAGTGAGTCCATTGGCACGTCGACTTGTAGCGAATGTAACCAATTTTGCTGAAGCCCGCTGTCGGCGTTTGCAGGAGGAGGAGATCGAGCGCAAGAACGAGCCAGATGAGAAGCTTTCCGGCTTGGCCTTCAAGGTGGTCTGACACGGTCAAGTGTCTTGCGTACGGACGTTCTGTGTCGCACAGTCGTTCGGCCCGCCCAATTGAGAGGGGTGTCTGTGTCTGTGTGAGTTGGTGTGTGACTCAGGTGGCCGCAGATCCTTACATCGGCACCTTGACCTTCTACCGACTCTATTCTGGCAAGGTGAAGAGTGGCGAGATGGTTTGGAATCCAAGGCCTCTGTGTGTGCGTGCAAAGTGCATTTCGGGATGAGGTTCTGACTTGTTCCGAAGCTGTGTCACGCATAATAGGCATGCCAAGCTATAGTTGCCCATATAGATGCCTGGAGGACCAAGTCCAAGGAGCGCATGGGCCGAATGGTTCTCATGCCCCTTGGCGTTTCTGTCAGCACGTAGGCGCTCTCGTTCGTAGCATGCGTTTGGGTTGTGGGCTCGGGTCTCGCCTCAGGCACTCAAACAAACGCGAGGAGATCAAGGAGGCCCAGGCAGGCGACATTATCGCCATTGTGGGCTTGAAGGACACCACCACGGGTGACACCCTGTGCGCCGTCGACTCTCCCATCGTGTTGGAGAAGATGGAGTTCCCAGAGCCTGTTATCAAGGTCTCCTGCGAGCCGGACTCCCAGAAGGATGCGGACAAGATGGGTGAGGCACTTGCCAAGCTGGCAGCAGAGGACCCTTCCTTCCGTTTCAGCCGGGATGAAGAGTCCAACCAAACGGTCATCGAGGGCATGGGCGAGCTTCATTTGGAGATCATCATTGACCGCCTCAAGAGAGAGTTCAAGGTGGAAGCCAATATTGGCAAGCCCCAGGTGGCCTACCGCGAAACCATCACAGAGCCTGTCGAGCTTTGGTACACCCACAAGAAGCAGACGGGAGGCTCTGGCCAGTATGCCAAGCTCTGCATGTCTTTCGAGCCCAACCCTGGAGAGGGCTTTGAGTTCTCCAACGAAATTATCGGCGGCACCGTTCCAAAGGAGTACGTGCCCGCAGTGGTCAAGGGCACCGAGGGCGAGCTCTTGAACGGCATCCGCATGGGCTTCCCAGTCGTTGACGTCAAAGCTAGGCTCAAGGATGGTGGATTCCACCCGGTTGACTCCTCCGCCATTGCTTTCGAGATTGCAGCCCGGGCATGCTTCAAGGAGGGCGCCGGCCAGGCGAAGCCCATTGTCATGGAGCCGATTATGAAGGTCGAGGTCATCACCCCCGAGGAATACATGGGAAACATCATCGGAGATCTGAACAGCCGTCGAGGCATCATCCAGAACCTTGCAACCCGTGGCAACCTCCACGTTGTGAATGCAAGTGTGCCCCTGGCCGAGATGTTCAGCTACATCGCTGAGCTGCGCAACTTGTCCAAAGGCAGGGCCAACTACGCCATGGAGTTCGAGAAGTACGAGCCCGTGCCCGAGAACGTGGCGGAGTCCATTGAGGGCAAGAGCTGAGACAAGCGATGACTTCAACACAGATCCAAAGATGCCTGACCTGAAGGGTGGTGCTTTGGCCTGAAAAGATTTGACTATTTTCGCGTGATTTTCGGGCGTAGCTGGCCTCACAGATCCTGAACGCTTCAGTAGACGTGTGCTATAGGGGTCAAAGGCGGCTTGTGACCATTTCAAGTCACATTTTCGAAGCAGCTGGACCGATCCTGCACTCACACCGCTCACACCGTCGGCGGAAAGAAATGGTTGATGCCAGTGTGGTTGTCCTATTCCTCCATGTTGTCCTGTTCTCTCCACGCACACTGCAACAGACACTGTAAATTCTATGCCTTGCTGTCAGCACTTGTCAGCACCAGCGACTCCAAGCTTCCAAGGCCTCAGAGATGACCTGACGGACTGACGGATCGACGGACCGGAAGCGATGAACAAAATGAACTGGGGGCTGTGGTTGCGGTTATGCTTTGCTACTTGCCAGGCAGACGTAGAGAGGTTGTCAAGCCGGCATGTTGAATGTGAAATTTCCTCGGCTGCCCAGACTAATTCTCAGCAGTTGTTTGAGCCTGGCGCGCGTTCATCCCAGAAGCCGATGGCAAGAACAGTCTTGGTAGCGTGCAAGGACCAATGGAGAGCGACATCCCTGTAGAGTATTTAGCTCAGCAGACCTTTTCAGCCCAAACTGGCAATGTAATCTGCAATGGCTCAACTGCTGACAGCCTCTGATAGCCGCAGACATCGCGTGAGAGGTGCTGTCGGAATTGTAAACGGGGAATTGTAGCTGGTAACAGTCTTGATGAGCCCTAACCACACTGACACGCACACGTCGAGACAGCAAAAGCTGCACACAGCAAAACAAAAGTAAAGTAAAAGTAAGAAGCACATCCCTGCTACACTTTATCTTGGATCTGCTGCCATGTCGATCCTCCTTTCCATCGATGGCGCAGAGCATAGTGCCAGCATCGAGGGGCAGCATGTCAACGGCGACCTTTGGCTATTTCAGCGCTAAGACGTTGTCACACGTGGTCGCGCGTGAGTGAGTCCATCGTGCGTTCTTTGCTGGTTGAACCACGAGGCTGTGTCTTGTTGCCGGCATACAAACCTGCAGAAAATTAACCCTACAGTGCGGGAAGTCTGAATCCTTGAAATATTGCTCTGTGTCTGAGGAAGAGCAGCGCTTAGCCGTGCGTCAGCTGAACAAGCTCTTGATGCGTACGGGCGCCCGATTCTCAGCAAAGAGCACCAAATCAGGCCAAGAAAGAATCCGTTGTGAAAACGACTTCAAGCGTTTCAGGAAAACATCTTCTTAGCGCCCTGTGAGTATGAGTTGCCCGGGTATATACCGTACATGGATCGGCGAGGGTCTGCAGGTGCTTTCCCTGACTCCCCAACAAGTCTCAAACAGGCAGCGGCTCAGTTCCTCAAAGACCACGTCGATGTCACGGTTCAGGGTGCACATGGGAACTAGGAGAAGCTTGCATGTTTTGCATCAGGTGTGCAATCTTTCAGCGTATGGTAAGGATTGAGCCTATATCACGAAGAGGGATATGAATGTCTGTGACCTTTGAATGCTGGTGCAGAGTTATTCCCTGGTTTGGTTGCCATGCTCAATACACTTTTTCAAGTTGGTTGCGGCATGAGGATGCCATGCCACTTAATGGGCTACGTACCTCGGAGAAGCTCGAACATAGTGACATAGTGTACAGGCGCAGGTGGGGCGCACGTAGGCGTGTGCTTAGACCACGTTTATGCCTGAGCCCCTGCTGAAAGAAGTAGCAGTTCCATGCCCGAAATACGGCGATTTTTTTGTCAAGCCCAGGTGTACTTCACTCGTGCGTGCCTCAGTTGTTGACTCCAATGCACCTGATACATGAAGGGGAGGTAATTTGCCGATGTTTGGGTCAAAGGTCTGCAGATGTTCTGGGGTTCCAGATGTTTTTGTACACTTGATACACCAAATCTTGCCAGGAATGGATTTGCAGTTCGCACCAGAGGCCCGATCGTGGATGGTCGTTGTAGAGATCCTTCCTGCTCTTCGCGTGGCTAAGTTCATCATGTTCATCTAGTCTGCTCTCCCGGCACTGCCCAGCATCCTGTCATACTGCACCACTGCCATCCCTGTGCTTCAAGTCGGATGTCTTCACGACATGTTTCCCCGCAGCGTGGCCGGTCTGATTGGCTAAAAAGCAAGGGGCGGTCGTGGGGAATCGGGGAAGGGGCTGGGTGCGGTAACGTGAACGATCTGCCAGGCCAAGAGAGCCTTGCTCACAACTGTGCCCGGAAGCCTGCGAACAGCAGACCAGGAGGCTCCTGCATGAAAAATCCGATGCGCAGCAGGTGCTGCCAACGGCAGCGGCGAGTCTTCACAAAGTCTGCTTGTTGGGATCATCAGTCCTTAGTTTAAGTACGTGGATGGCGTGTTCAGAATTGCTTACCAGGCTTCTTCTTGCATACTGGAAGCTGACATAGACTGACAGAGTGATTTGGAGGTGCTGCTCTCCTATTACTCGTTGCCGCGCGCGGCACTGCACGGGTGCTACAAGCTGAATAATGCGTGGTGAGATGTAAATGGGTGGCTTAAAGGCTCATTGTGAGAGAGGTCTGGTGCTTCTCACAAAGTCATGCCTTTTTCTGGGCGCTTTGCTCAGGCTCGTTGTGTCTGCCGAGCAGGAGATGTCTGTCCTAGGCAGGGGTGTTAAAGAGCCGACAGCCCAAAGGCGAGACGTAAAGTGCTTAGAGCCACAGTGTTCCGCTCTGCAGTTCTGGCTACGAATCGTCGATACAGGGTGGCATAGCAGAAAGTCAAAACTCTTGACTTTGAACGGTTCCAGCTGACAGCTTGCTCGTATATGCTCGGATGTCAAGCCGATGATGTGGATCATGCTGAAACTCAAAGAAGAGGTGACGCCTACGTGGACCCACGTTTGGGTCCGTTTGCCAGCGCCCCAGAACATCCCAGAACTGTCAGTTTCACAAGAAAAGTGCATGACATCAAATTCATTCAATGCAGTCGCTTGTTGGTTGGGCCTTACGTTCATCACTTCACTGTTCAGTAGTTCTACTTGGCTTCATTCAGCTTCCAAGGTTGGGTTTAACGTTGAACGGACGGTTCGAATATTCTGTAGAGAGATGTAAAGCAAGAGTCGTCGCCATTGATCATAGACTGGACGATGCCAGCAAACCGAGGCATATTGATCAGATACGCTTGATGCCGGATCTTGCCTAGTATCGCCCCGGGCCGGCCGCAGTTTGAGTACGACTCGTTGTAGTACTGTCAGCTATGTTACGTATGTGACCATCAGGCACTCAGAAATCCGCTACATGAGTCCTGTTTCTGTGTTCAGCCGTGTGGTTGTATGGGCCCAGTCCCCTGACACAGCGTTCGCTATGCCGGCGATGCCGCTTGCCGCGGAGGACCAGGTCGAATGGGGGATAAACAGCAAATTTGAAATACCGATAAACACGGAAAACACGTACAATCCTTTGAGTACAACAGGGCGGCTGACTGCACGGACAATGTTTCACCTGGTAGCAAATTAGTATCAACCTGCCTGGTGTAGCCTTGAGCAGAAAAGATGACAGGAGCAGGGGGAGGCGGAAGTCCTCTTGCAGACGGAAACGAGGCATCAACGGCAGCCAAGGCTTCAGTCCAGATGGTGGGAGGTGCTGGGTTTGACAATGACCCTCATCCTGGTGATCAGCGCTGCCCGCTACGTGAGTGCGCCTGGAGGTCTTGAGAGCAGGCTCACCAGACGCCAGGGTGCACACTACATTCGTAGGTTCTCTCGTGACATCTACGACATGTCAGCGGACCAAGATGATCAGAACCAGGGCAGGAGTGATGATCTATTTCCCACCCACAATCGAGGAACTGGTATCTCCGGCGAGGAATACCCAACTCATTCAGAAGATGAAGATACGGGATTCCGGGATCGGCATGCTGTCTACGGCGGGTATGGGAATGGTGATGTAGATGCATACTCGACTGATGCAGCCACTTCGCAACAGACGAGTCTTGACCGGGGTTTCTTGACAGATGCTGACAATGGCTGGTGGGGCGAGCACGGTCCGAATGCTGCGATGACCCGAGCATCAAGTTATACGAGCGAGCAGGCAGCTGCCTACGACTCGGATACAAAGCGGGACAACAGGGGCGTTCAGGATGCATCGCAATTTGCAGGACGATTGCAGAGAAACGGAGGCGAAGGCGGTGCATCTTGGAACGACTGGTCTGACAACCAAGCTCCCACTAGTTGGGACAGATCGCAGGGCAGGTCGGATACCAAATCGACGACACCATCGGCGACACAATCGACAGCAGCTGCGTACCACTCGGAGACAAAGCGAGACAACAGGGGTGTTGAGGACGCACCGCATTTCGCAGGACGATTGCAGAGAAATGGAGGCGAAGACGGTGCATTTTGGAACGACTGGTCTGACAACCAAGCTCCCACTAGTTGGGACAGATCGCAGGGCAGGTCGGATACCAAATCGACGACACCATCGGCGACACAATCGACAGCAGCTGCGTACCACTCGGAGACAAAGCGAGACAACAGGGGTGTTGAGGACGCACCGCATTTCGCAGGACGATTGCAGAGAAATGGAGGCGAAGACGGTGCATTTTGGAACGACTGGTCTGACAACCAAGCTCCCACTAGCTGGGACAGATCGCAGGGCAGGTCGGATACCAAATCGACGACACCATTGACGACACATTCGACGGCAGCTGCGTACCACTCGGAGACAAAGCGAGACAACAGGCCTGTCGAGGACGCATCGCAATATGCCGGACGATTGAAGAGGAACGGAGGCGAAGACGGTGCAGCTTGGACGTCTTGGAAAGGCTGGTCTCCCGCTAGCTGGGATCCCGCTAGCTGGGACGGATCGCAGGGCTGGTCGGCTTCCAAATCGACGACACCATCGACGACACAATCGACGACAGTGGCCACTGTGGTTACCGGGCCTGTTGCAGCCGCAGAGACGTACATCAATCACTATGACTCTGACAATCCTTTGGGCATCAAGGTCAGGGTTGGGACAGAGAGCCGGCAGCAGCACTCAGGGTCAGCATACTGAGCTATGCATAACTTGCGGTTCATCTTCACGCCATGCACTAGCTTGTAATTGAGATGTCTGTGCCGCCTCAAATGCAGAAACCCACCCGAACCCACTCCGGCCTGACATGCCCTTGCGCATGAAGTGCTCACCCCTGCAGATGTCCGCGATGGGCCGAAACCAGAACTACTTCCTCATCATCGGTGACTGGGGAAAGGCCGGTGGCCCCGGCAGCTGCCAGAAGGCGAGCACTCCGGGCCATCTTGCCTGGTCTCGAAGCTTTGGGATCCTAAGGCAACCCCACCACGCAAGGAAAGCAACGCATGTTTCCTTGTCAGGGCTTCCCCGCAGGCCGTTGCGTTCCCTTTGAAATGTAAGTGGAATGAACATCATTTAGTTCACGGGCCGCGTGGGGGAGGGGGGGAGCCTTTCCCCCCCCCCCCCCCCCCCCCCTCCCTCGATGAAATTTCGAAAAAATTGTAAAATGGAAAAGTCCAGCAAACCAGTACAGCTTTTTACCGATTAATTAAGTTTACAGACCATTTCCAAATATTATTGGTGATGATGCAAAAGTATTAAGACAAGTCCTGCAAAACAGGTTTACACAATGTCGGACCAGGATCGAATCGGTGTCCCAGGTGGATTCTCCCCCAATCCCCCCAAAAAAGATCCTTGTCTAGTTCCAACACGTGGCGCTGCGTGCGTAAGAACACTGGCGCACTTCTAGCTTTCGTAGCCGCAGTCTCAAGTATGTGCCAGGCACATTCACAAATCCGGCTTTGTGTCTGAAATCTATGCCATCGAACCAAGAGGTCTTAGAGACAGCGCCGAGTGAACCAAGAGGTCTGTAGTGATGTCCAACTCATGACTTTGCATTGTTCACAGATTTTGCGTCCACCTCTTTCTGCCCCCAAAATGCTATATGCATATATACTAATACTAATATATATATATGTATATATATATATATTATACATAGAAATATTTATTTTTGTTTTTTCACTTATTGATGTATTATATATATAGTGGCCTTCAACCGAAGGCAGTAGCAGCCCATTTGCGTGCCTACGTCGAGAAGCAGGCCGGCGTTGTCTTGCAAGGTTCTTCTTCATGTCCTGCTGAGTCCGTGCTAGTCCCAGACCGGCAGGCGCAAAATTCAAAGAAGCTTTTGTTCATTGCTTCAGCCGGGGACAACTTTTACTGGACCGGGGCGACACGAGAGGCTTGGGAGGCAGCAGCTTGTCTGACTCAGTTGTCATAGCCAACGGATGTCTGAGGGTTTAGGGTCTAGGGTTTAGGGGTTTAGGGTTTAGGGTTTAGGGTTTAGGGTTTGGGGTCATCAAGTCCGGTTTCAAAAAGGGTTTCGGGTCTAGGGTATGTTGGCCATGTGGACATTGTCTTTTTCAGCACACTGATAGAAACACGAGATTCTGTTGATGCCCGGCAGTTTTCAGCGAAAAACGGAGGGGTACGGAGGTCGTAGGAGATTGCGTCAGCTGTCCGACAGCGAGGTATGGTCCCAACCGTACGGCATCCACGATCCTAACTCGCCAGTTTACCAAGTTCCATGGCTTTCGGCGCACCATGGTGGCAGCGCTCTGCGCAAGGCGTCAGGCAATCCATGAATCCATGCACGTGTACTGGTTTTCTAACACCTCCTGAGCTCGAACAACATGGCTTCGAGGTTTAAAGAGTCAAGCTTGCTGCTACGGATCCACCGCGCAGACAGTGAGGTACGGAAATCACGACTATGGCAACCATGACCCTTACGCATTCTGCCCGCATAAAGACGAATCGCCTCAGCGAAGAATCATCAACGGACAGGCGCGGGTTGCTGGATTTGGCTCGGCTCATGGCTCAGGTGTAGTGTGACAAGTTCTTGCAATTGCGAGAGAATTGTCCCCAGGCCTACTCCAGCCACCAGCTGAACGCCGACCGGAATCCGAGTCGCCCTTGGGGCACAGAGCCACTTGAAAGAACCGATTTTTGTCGTGACTTGCGATTTATGTCTCCTCTTGACGGGGCCCAACGCACCAAATGCGCAAAAACATGGCAGGCGATATTGGCTTCCAGACTACAACTACCATTATGCAATCCCAAGCGATGCAGAGCCAGATGTGGAGGTCATTGTTGTTGACACATCCGCTCTGATCAACCCAGACCGTGTGGGAGGGGACCCAAAAGGCCGAGCCTTTGCTGATGTGCTTTGTGGTGGCCGTCCCATCGCCCAGCATTTCCTGAACAAGACATACGAAGCTGGACGTCAGCTGGTAATCGAAAGGGCCAGGAAGAACAAGGTTGGGACAGCTCCTGGCCGTATGTTGTGCTTTGTGTTCCTCAGGTGGTAGAAGTTGACATGAGTACATATGTGTCATATGTATTGAGCCCGTGAATGCACCAGCTTCTCAGGTTCTGATCATGCAGCACTACCCGAAGCAATGCCCGAGGGATCTTTTCGAGAAGTCTCTTCCTGCCTCACGGAAGGGCAAGGTCAAGGTAATCTGCTCCTTGGCAGCAGGGCAGGCGCTGCTTAACGCTGCTTGCTCTTGGCGGCAAAGCGCCACGAGCTTGCGCGTGTGCTTCATGACTTCATGTCCCCCACCCCCTGAGAACTCAGGTAGCGTCCTTGCTTGCGAGGAGTAGAGTGAGTAGAAGGTTGACTTCCTCCTATCTTACCATGACCTAGCCAACACCCCAGTGCTTATGATGGGTCTACCTGGGTCGGCGATTCTGAGGCGCATATGGGCACGTCCATGAGCAGAAGTGTGAGCGGAAGGACCGGGACTGGACCCCATGATCCAGCAATTCTTTGACAAGTCGAGCCATCGAGTTGGTATTTGCCTTTCAATGTTTCAAAGGATGCTGCTGGCATGTGCAT